CTATATTCTCTATGTTTTTCCTACTATATTTTTGCCGCTCTTTATATAAAGTTTTCTTCTCTCTAACAACTTTTTGCCCACTCATTCCACCACTAACTCTCCTTACCGTCTAATCTACAACATTTAGATCGTCCTAGTATATTTTTTATTTTTAGCCACTTTCCTAGTATAAGAAGACATGCTATTCCGTATAATATTAGTTTCATTATCTATATTTCATATATCTTCTTTTATTATCTTATCTTTAAAATGTATCTAATTCTCTCCTTTTAAATTCCACAATTTAGTTCTTAGTCTTTTGTTCATGTTAGTTTTTCTACTCCACTTCTTAATAAATATGTCTAACATCATCAATCTATGCCGTGTACTTAAACTCTCATGGTATGACTTTACAATCTTTGGATATTAACCTATCCGCCATTCTAGTAAGAAAAAAGTCTATTTAAAACCACTTTTAAAGGTTATTAAGTGTTCATCTTTTAAAAAAAAAGTGTATTTGCTATTATCAAATCATACGATATTGCAAACTCTAAAATTGATTTACCCATATATTTTTTATCTCCATACTCGAAACCTCTATGTATTTTCTCATATCTGTTATTATCCTTACCAACATGCCCATTAAGATCCCCTCCTATAAATAATTTCTCTCCAAATTGGAATCATTTTATTAATTCATCTAATCTATCTCAAAATTTCCTTTTAGTACTCTCGGGCAAGCTTATTTGTGGTGCGTATGTACTAATAATATTAATAACCTCTACACCTCAGACAACTTTTATTAGTATTATTTTATCTCTAACTTTTCTTACCTCTACAACATTTTTTTATTATATTATCTACAAGAACTCCCACTCCATTCCTATTCTTCTCTTTTCCCGTGTACCAAAGTTTATATCCCGTCTTTTCAATTTCTCTAGATTTTCACCTATCCGTTTAGTTTCTTGTAGACAAAATATATTTATCTTTCTTCTAAGCATAACATCCACTAATCCATAGACTTTCTGGTAAGTGTACCTATATTCCAAGCTGCTAATCTAATTCTATTTTTTTTTTTGTAAAAGTCTCCTATCTTCTTAGATCGTTCTAGTCTATGCCTAATATATTAGTTTACCTATTAGAGGATTGTAAATTCTTAGAACACCATTGCTTGCTTATCATTACATCGGGGTGACATCGATGTAATGCGTCGCTTCCGGGGGATGCCCTAGTGAACCACCCTTGCTTACTTATCATTGCATTGGGGTGGTGTCGATGCAATGCGTCGCGGTGTGGACGCCCCAACAAGTATATAATAAGATTCATTTTTTATGTGGGTCCGACTATGTTTTACGCTGGCTGTCGGCTACCTAACACATCCCTCCTCCCTTATCAGGATAAGGACAAGCAGTGCTGACAATAAACACAACATTGGCGGAGTTGTATTCCTTCATCTAATAATTATTTATATTGAATTTAGATTTCGTTATCAAATCATGTACCAGCTTGTTTCAACTTCGCACAATCTTAGGCATTCATCTATAAGTATGAATCTTAGCTGGAAAGACCTGAAGCATGCGTTAATAGATCTAGAAGACTTATTGTACATGAGAATTATTTCCGAAATCTGATTTTTGTATGTTAGTTTTAAAATGCATTGTGGAATATTCGTTTGTTAGGTTTAAAATGCATTGTGGAATATCCGTTGGGCATCATCTTATCTTTAGTCTCCTGAATGTCAGAAATGAAGCTTCTTTGATTGATACACATTATAGTGATGGGTTTTATCTTTTTCCTTTATGCTTGGTAACATGATATATTGTCAACCTCGTATTTGTTGTTATGCGATGTTATTCAACTTTAATTATTAGGTGGCATCACAAGGGGCACAAGAAGGGAGAGATTGTTAAGCAAATTTGTAGAAAATGAATGTGAAAAGATAGACAGGCTTATGGAACTATATATGAGGTAAGTTTGGAAAGCGTTATATCACATCTCATAAAACTACTTCATGGGGTAACTTGGTGCTTGAGAGTTTCATTGCTCAAGTCCAGTGATTTTCTCGGATCCACTTATAGATGGCATACTTTGCAGATATTCTGACCGAGTTAAAGCTGAGGCTGTACGGCTAGAAAAGCTTGAATTGGATGATCTCGAGGTATATTCCTTTTCTATATTATAAAAACAAAATAATTCACTGGAGGTATAAAGCTGATATGAGTTATGTTTCTCTTCTCAAGATGGATGAGGAGGAGCGTTACAATCGGAAACTGGAAGCTGGCCTGTACACTCTTCAAGTAAGAACGATTTTGTGGTGGCTTTTACTGCTGTTTTCTTTTGCTGAGGTTTAACAGATATCATGTGTTTGAATATTAAATTATTATTACTAATCAAAGTACACGTAATTTTGCAGTTGATTGCTGTTATTCTGGGCCATTTATGGTCGTCTGAGTAAGCATGCTATCTAGATCACATCACATCTACTAAGCATCTTTCATGTAGGATTTAGTGAGATTTGTGCCGGTTTTTATGGGAGCCTGTCACTATGTGCAGGCATCCAGGGATGAGATCACGAATAGAACTATTACTCAGACAACAGAAACTGACAAAGAAGCATGTTAAGGATATACTTCAGGTAATTGCTATACATTAGGTTCTTTTGTTGAATATTAGTACTCAAAGTGTATGTATTTATCATTCTTTGGATGTTAGTTATGATCCTATGGCTATTCAAACTATGGTATTTATCTTTGTCAAAGGATATAATTCTTCGGTTCATTTGCAATTTATAATTGTTTCAAGTCTATTGTTTATTTGTTAGAGTAATGCTCAAACATTCTGTGAAAACCACTACACTTTTTTTTCCTCAGCATACAAGTCAGAATAAAAGATAGCTCTAGGTGAGCAGTGTTCTGTATTTTATAATCTCTGACATTCGAACCGTTCCAAAGCTTATATAGATGGTAAAATCTGAAATGTATCATAGGGATGAAAGTAATCAGAACTAATGTTGAAAATAACGAAAATGGGTTATGTACGCTTGGCCTCCTATTAAGGGTTAAGACAAAAACTCAAAAAAACGTAATGCATAAAGTAGGCTATATTGCTTATTGATTATTTAGATGCTTTATAAATACTAGCAACTCATAATAGCTTTAATACTTTGAATCATCAAACTTTTCAAACATAACATCACAATTATCAAATATTAGAATATAATATCACAATTTCTTAACAAAAATTAGTCATATATGACTAACAACCATTCTACATCAAATGATCAAATACGTTAACGTCGTCAAGTATAAGGCAATAAAAACAAGTTTAAACACTTCCAACTCTCAAGTTCTTAACTTCAAAAAATATTCTAATTTCTAATCAAATTTACTACATCAATCAAACTAAACATGATTATGTAACAACAGTAAGAGATTTTGCATATACAATAATAAATTTTGAATATACAGAGATTGCGCGCAAACTTAATTTCACAAACTCTAGTATCAACTGAAAACGAAAACCTAATTAAAGTCAAGTAATAACTGAAAGTAATTATGTAACCAGCACAATTAACCCACTAATTAATCTTGGTACTCTAATTTTGTGATATATCTTAATAAATTATGTTGTAGAGTAATTGAGCAACAAGTTTGATATGATTTATGATAAATTGGCACTATATAAGATTGGAATATGGAAGGTAATTTCATAATCACTATTTATTTAAAGGATATAAACTGAGATGCTTGATACATAACTGAAAGATAAATTTATCTCACCGTAATCATGGAAGTCGCCGATAGCGGAGGAGTTTCGGAGGAGGCAAAGAGCTAGGGTTCGGGTTGGAGAAGGCGAAGAGATCATATATTCGCAGAAAGAGAATAGGGTGATCGAGACTAAAAGGGGCGGGGTTTAAATAAGTTGGATGATGGAGATGCATCACTGCGTCCTAATAAGAGATGCAATTTAACCTAAAAAACCAAGTTAATTGGTTATATAACTTAACGCATTTAACGTAATATAACATGTTTTTTTGGGTTATACAGTTTCAGGGTTAAATGAGTGTGTCATCTAACAAGAGGGCATCTTAAGTTACAAAATGGATTATAACGGGTTATACAACGGTTAAACACTGAACAAAACTGTAGTGGGCCTTTTTTTTGTGCTGGAATAACTACCTCTACCCGATGGAGTTGAAGTACAGTTAAAAAGAAATTTTATGTTTAGATAGGTCTGGTTGGAGGATGTATGATATTCAAGCATAGTGTCACGACCGTGTATGGCCAAGTCAGATTGTGCCCAGCCAGATTACTGAATGGGTCAATTTTTCTAGCCTGACTGTGATCTTATTAACCTAATTAGTATATGTATCCAGTGTTGTAAAAAGCGGCAAAAAGCGGGGCAATCGTGGCGCTTATAGCGGAAGCGGGCCATCAGCGCTACGCTTTAGGCTTTTGCGGCATGGTTAAGCTGTAAAAACCGCTGTGTTCGAAAAGCGCGTGTTAGCGGCTTTTAGCGGCTAAAAGCGCTATTACCCGCATCAGATTTTAACGAGAATCACCCCCGAACCCGACCCGAACCTGACCCGTACCCACTAATATTAAACCTCTCCCCTCATTTTGTGCCCTAGCCGCCTCTCCCAGTCTTCCCCAATCCCGACTGCCTCTCCCAGTCTCCCCCACTCCCTACCTCTCCCAGCTCCATCTCCAGCGACGAGTGACGCCAACTTCCAGCGACGCCGTCCAAGCTCCCACTCCCGATGACCGACGATTTCCAGGTTGTATAGCTGGTTTATGGAGGAACAAAGGTCTCATCTCATGCCTGTTGCAGTGCTCAATCTGATAGCCCAATGCAATCGGGTATGTATAGCTGGTTTTTTTATGGCATATGGATTCTTTGTTCTCTTCGTTTTCTCTTTGGCATGATTTTGGGTTTCTCTGTGTTGGAGCATGTACTGCTGGCCGTGGTTTTTTTTCCTTCCCCAAGAAGCGGCAAATGGCTTTCGACTTCCTCTTTTTTTTTTTTTGACAAATCGGCTTCCTCTCTTCGTCTTACATGAATAGTGTGTTACATGAATAGTGTGCTGAATATTACATGGCTGGAAGTGGCTGTTGGGCTTTTTAGAAATTACTGTAGCAGTTTTTCCTTCACTTAATGGAGATGGTGTTTTTTTCCACAACAAAAACACTGTAGCAGGGATAGGGTTAATTTCTGTAGGTGATAAATGGCTTACTGGAACTGGAGACTTGTTGTCTGCAACAGAGATTTAGATCTGGAGACTTGTTGTCTGCAACAGAGATAGGGTTAATTATCACACACATATTTCATGTTTAGGCATCAAGTATGCATTTATATGATTTTTAGATTTCTATATGATTTTTCTTATTATTTAGAATATTTAAATATATTTATATTTGACCGCTATTTGATTACTGGAACTGGAGACTTGTTGTCTGCAACAGAGATTTAGATTTTTATATGATTTTTCTTATTATTTAAAATATTTAAATATATTTATATTTGATCGCTATTTGACTGTGCGCTATTTGCCGCAATAGCCCGCAATAGCCTAAGCGGTACATCGCCGCGACGCGACGCAATCCGCTATCAACAACCTTGTATGTATCATAAAAGTCGGGAATGTGGGATACTGTAGTGAACCGCGGTTGGGGTTCAATTGTCTCGGATTTGTGATGGAACACAACCCGATTCACCAACTCTAAATTGACCTGGTTTAGAATTCTATAGTTAAAAAATTGAAAAAAATAACTCTTTTCAAAAGAATAAATAACAAATTAAGCAAATAAAGTATGTATACGTCAATTGCAACATGATTCTCATGGTTCTTTTACCATCACTTCAACTAGCAAATCTCGTAAGGGTGCGTTTGGTAGATTACAATCGGTAGTTGCAATGCAGTTAGCACTTGCATGCAACTGAGACGTTGTTCTTGCGTGCAACTATAGTTATAATTGTTTGGTTTAATTTTTAAAATATTGAGTTGTAGTTGCAGTTGTTTGAAACTGCTTGTAATTTTTCGTATGCAAGTTGTTTTTTACTTTCAAAAAAATGAAAAGCAATTATTAGTTAATTAACTTAATTTTATATATTTATAACATTTATTTTTTAAAAAGTAATGGTTTTCTTTTTCAAACTTTTCTAAAATAAATTATTTTGAAAAAAAGAATATAATTTTAAAATATTTTTTTGAAAACACATATTTTAAAATAGTATTTTTTAGAGAATAATATTTTTTCTAAAAAATACTTTTTTGCAAAAATGATTTAAAAATAGTTCTCTAAAAAATTGTTTTATGAAAAAATAATATTTTAAAGAAAATATCTATTTTAAAAAAGTATTTTTGAAAGACTAATATTTTCTAAAAAATATTTAAAAAAATAATACTTCTTTCTAAAATAATATTTTTTTCAAAAAAATATTTTTTCAAAAATGTTATTCTGTTTTAAAAATTTTAAAATAATATTTTGCAGCAAACAATTCAAAAATTTTAAAATTTATATTTTTAAAAATAATATTTTAATAAAATTATTTCAAATCTTTGATGAAGTTCTTAGATGTTTGGAATTAAAAATAATAATACTGAGATTTTTATTTTTTATTAACTGGGGTAAGTTAAAACAAAGTTGCGAGTGTGACTTGCGCTCAAAATGGTGTTAGTCTGAAACTGAAACTAGATGGCAATTTGTAACTTTCAGTTGCAATGAAACAAGCACTAGCAACTGGATAAAAATGATCTGGTTGGCAGCAACTACAGTTACAACCTTGTCAGTTACAACCTACCAAACACACCCTAAATTTGACTCTTACAAAACTTCGTAGTGCTACATTTAAGAACAGAACCTAAAACGTTCCACGTTCCCTGGTGTACTATATAAGCCTACCCCATACGTATCCAACTCCTAATGAGTGACATACTATGCTCCCGTACTCGTCCCATTAACCAAAACGAACCGGGTTCCATGTGACTATGATATGTACATCAGTACATGCATGTGTTCAAGAGCGAGAATGCATCTTTAAGAGATTTGGCCAAATTTGATTATATGCCTGATTAAGGTATTGGATGGCTGAGATCCCTAACACGAATATGATCCTCATAGTCCAATGCATTGATGTGTGCGTGCTGCTGGGACTGGTGGGTGATTTGACCAAATACAGTTATGCCTGACCTGATTATTGAATGGTCAGGTTCTTTAACTGGAACATGATCCTAGTAACCTGTTAAGTATATGCATGGGGTGTGGATCTACACGTGTGCTTTCATCTGTATGTGGTCTCCCCCCAAAAAAGTGAATTTACTTCCAACTTAGAAGAGATTCGATCCCAGCAGTAAACTTCATAAAACTCTCATGATTCAGATTGCCTTGTTTCCATAATTTGAGATCCATATCAGAGAGATCTAAGTGGCACTTCCTGATTGCCAAACCATTAGATATTTAAATACGTATTCTATTTTAAGTGAGGAAGTGCTGGAAGAGAGGTCTTTGGGGACACCAATGGTGAAAATTTGAATATGCCAGAGGAGAGAAAGAAGCAGTGCTTGTCAGATTTCGCGGTAGATCCCACGGAGTTGGGAAGGAAGAAGAATGGAGTTCGAGGTGGTTGTCAAAGTGAAAGACTCATGAAGTTAGGATTTGTGTTTCTTAACTAGATGACATAACTTCTTCGTTTGATGTGGTTTTAGCTTAGTGACCATTTGTTTGTCAGTAGTTGTGTTCCTAGCTTTACGCGGGGGCTTGGGTTTTAACCCTACTACCCTTAGCATTTCTTTATATGAATTCCATATTAAAATCTTAAATAGGTCAGCTTGTTCAGCCTTAACCTGATGTAACTATTTATCAGGTTATTCTAGACTTTGATTGACCATAGCTGATAAACAGTTATAACTAATTTCACTTTGACCACGTTTTGTGAGATTAGCATTTCTTTATGTGAAATCCAAAAGTTCGAAGACTTAGAGGTCAAAACTTTTTCACCCTAACCCGACATAACTATTTATCAGGCTATTCTGGACCAGTGTTTTCAAAGGCGCGCGTCTCATTGTGCCTCATGCACCTTACGATGCGGGGCGGTGACGAAGCGCCCCACATCTGATGCAGCAGCGCCTTTTGCGCCTCGTGTACATTCTTTGTGTAGGGTGCATGTAGTACATATCCTCATATAGTTTTGTTTGTTAACATTTCAATCGAGACTTTATACTTGATATTCCATATCCCAAAAAGCACAATAAACCCATTAGGCCTTTTTAATAACCTTCAATTGAGGACCATTACTAATCCTTTGTTTGGATATTAGTCTTGATTTAACATTTGATTTGAAAATTTATGAATTTTGCTACTATGTTAGGTGTTGGTATTAGAAATTAAGGCATTATATTGTGATTTTGTAGTAAGATATTATTTATCATGATATTTTTCATGTAAATTCAAAAAACATGTTCTTTCGCGCTTGATTACATATACTGAAAAATTATGTGTGCGGTGTGTGCCTCTCATCACTCGGGCGCGCGCATCGCGTTGCGTCTTGCGCATGTGCTCGTAAAGATGCTTTGTGCTCCGCATTACGCCTCGCTCATTGACAACACGACAACACTGTTACCACCGCTAATCCTATCCATGACATGCATTGTAACTTACTGATAGGAGAATATGATTCTTGTTGTACAAAAAGTAACAAAATCCTGTTTGCTTGTTTACATATGTAGAAAACAAAATGTAGATAATTTTGGAGTAGTTACTGATGCGCAGTTGTCTAAATGCATTATATTGTAGGAATATCATGATAACATTGGAGACATCGATGGCCCGGAGGAGAAGGAACGAGCACAAACAAAAATCCAGAAATTCATCGATTTATTTTGAGATCAGCAGTTTTCTTTTCCTTTCCTTTTACTATCTACTTGCAATAGGTTTTTTTGACGACCGCTGCAGAAGCAGAGCCTCAAACTCATAGCCTTTCTGTTATTTGTATTATCTTCATTTATGTTTACAGAGACTATAAAATTGTGGCCTGCTATGCTTGTCTGGGGACATGTCATCTGATGTAGCATCTGAACAGTTCATCATCATGCCTTTATGTTAGATTGGTGGCAGTTATTTGCATCATTGAATGTGTCGTATTAACTTTTCTTTCCAACTTCAGATTGTCTGAATGTGGCATATCAACTTACCAGTGTTGTTGCTGAAATGTAGCTTAGATCACGTGGCAGCATATGAAGTCGCAGTTCCTTGCTTGGCTCCATTATCTAATTTGGTCATCGCTGATATTAATTCTGGGTAAGCTTATCTTATATATTGCGATACCATTCAGAAGTAAGATCATCTTATGTATCGCGGCACCATTCAGAAGTAGATAATTATGAGAAAGGTTCGACGTCAGAATTTTTTGGTAGATTACATTAATGGACATCTGCTATGAAGTAAAACGAGTGACGGCCGGCGCGTTCTCGCTCTCTTAATTTGAAGTCTTTACATTCATCAGGTAAACAAGGTATAATTTATTATTAACTTTGCTCGACCCCTACAATTCTGGAGGTAAGCAACCTTGTTTATCTCACTAGTCTTCTTTCGCGTAGCATGATGATTGAATAAAAGTTAGGGTTATTTGTACTTAAATACCTCAAAATTCATACCATTTTAACTTTTGATAATCTGAAGATTTTTTTTTAATTTACCCAAGACATTCTCCGAAATTGAAAAAAAAGAAAAGAAAAGCCTAATTCGACTCTCCGGTTGAATCATTTTAGGTTATCAAAGTCAAATTTTATTAAACTCGGCTAATTTTATCGGGTTCAATGTAGTTGATGCGCATACTGTGCTTATCTTTATTTCAATATAAAACATTTCTTTGGCGATTGAGTGGTGAAATGAATGAGAGGTTCTTCTCATCTGGATTTACTAACTGCTCACTGTGTATAAGGCATCAGATAATTTTGCTACATGATGTCATATACTCTACTGGACGGAAAGAAGAAAAATAAAAGAAGATTTTTTTAAAAAAAATTATCAATCCCTTAAATCTTCAATAATTGCATATTAGTCCGTCATATCTCAAGACTTGGAAACTGAATACTAGTCCCTTACATATTCAATAATTGCATGCTAGTCCCTCGAATCTGCTAAATGCATATTAGTCCCAAATCCTACAGGGTCTTGCAACATGGTACTTCAAGTTAAATCACGTTAGTTTTAGGGAGAATATTTCGTCAAGTCTAACGGTTGCAGGTAAAATAACCATTTTACCACTCTATAACGTTCTCCAACCATTTCCTAATAGGTATAATCCCAATACCCACTTAAAATAAATCCAAACTCACCCGAGTTCTTCTCTAATGGTTAGCAAAAAAACCTAACCCAAAGTTGATCTCATTTTGGGTTAGGAGTGCACCCAACCATGATTAGGTTTTTAACTAAAATACTAACAGAGAGATCATTCTGCAAGACCCCGTGGGATGTAAGGGACCAATATGCAATTTCTAAGATTTGATGGACTGATGCGCAATTTTTAAAGATTTAGAGGACTAATCTGTAATTTCTAAAATTTAAGGGAGTAATATGTAATTATTGAATATGTAAGGGTCTAATATCTACTCCTCCAACTTACCTTAACAGTTAACATACTGAACCCAACAGCTAGTTGGCGATGAAATGGATAAGAAGGATTTTGAACGATAAACCTAACAGGAGGATTAATATCAAGACATTTAGATAATTTAGGAAACTAATATAAAACAAATCTATGATTTAAGGCACTAATATATGTGATTTGGGGGGCGGTTCGTAAGATTTGCTCTTTTTATTTTGTCGTAGAAGAAGTTGGACTGTAAAAAAAGGGGAAAAGAAAATAAGAGGGGTGTGTTTTCCTTTATGCCAACAATCATTCTCCTCATGGCCAAGTTTCTTACAATGGTTGCATTGGACGCCTTTTCCTTTCCCTTTTGAAGATGAAGTCTTGGTTAATAAGGCGTCTTCAATTTTCACCATTTTCTTCCTCCCTCATTGATCTCCTTTGGTCTACGGCACTGAGGGCATTGACTAAATCCAATAGAGTTATTCTGGATAGGTCTTTAGAATCTTCAAGTGATGAAATTTTGGACTCATACCTTTCGGGAACAGTCACTAAAATCTTATCAACCACTCTTTCATTTGAAAATGTTTCACCAAGCAATCTAATTTGATTGACAATAGTTATAAGCTTACCGACATACTCTTTGATGGTCTCACCTTTCTTCATCTTTTGTATCTCAAATTCCTTTTTGAGATTCAGAACTTGCATCAATTTTGTTTGAACGTTGCCCTTGAACTCTTCCTTTAGCATCTCCCATGCCTCCTTAGGTGATTCACAAGTCATTATACTTGTGAAGATTCCGTCTGACAGGGCCGAATGAATACAAGAGAGGGCTTTTGGCTTCTTTGCTTTTTCTTCGTCGTGCTTCTTGATTTGGTTTAGGGTTGGATTTTGTGGAAGAGGGGTCGGCTCATAGTCACTCTCAACAACCTCCCATAAACTCAAAGCTTTCAAATGAGATTTCATCCTGATAGCCAAGATTGAAAAATGTCTCCATTGAGGATGGGGTATGGAAGTGAAAAATTATTGGATGCCATTAAAAAACAAAGGTTGACCACTCTATATTTTTTTTAAATCCTCACAAACCCAAGAAAACTGGAGCTCTGATACCATGTTGGAAAAAAAGAGGAGAAAACAAGAATATAAGTTTTATTAAAGAAAATGTTTCATTTACTCATGTTATGCTAACAGAGAGAATGACCAAATATATAGGCCTTACACCAACTTAAACTCCTAGAAATCAACAATAAACAATTCAAAAAATACATGACAATTGACTAAGTAAACAACTAAACCACTACTAACATACTATCCTGAAAAATAGGAAACAACCTAATAACTAATTTTGAATCAGTTATTCAACATTCCCCCTTGATTCAAAATTTCTTGTCATTCCTCTTGAATCTTCATAGAGTACTTCTCTCCATAATCTTGTAAAGCATTTCTCTTCACTTTGTGATGCACTTCTCATCTCTATCTTGTTGATGCACATAATCACCAACATTCTCTTAAAGGAGCACCTCTCTCCACAAATATTGATAGATCACTTGTTTCAATCTCTCCATGGTGCACATCTCACCATGATTCCTAGAATAAAATTTCTTCTTCAACTTCTTGTGCCATGTTTGCTTGTTCTTCACCATTATATCGGCAATATTTTTGGATATGACCAAATCTCTTGCATTTATGACATTGAGGTTTTCCTTTATGCCAACAATCATTCTCCTCATGGCCAAGTTTCTTACAATGGTTGCATTGGACGCCTTTGCCTTTCCCTTTTGAAGATGAAGTCTTGGCTAATAAGGCTTCTTCAAAATTTTCACCATTTTCTTCCTCCCTCAATTATCTCCTTTGGCCTACGACACTGAGGGCATTGACTAAATCCACTAGAGTTATTTTGGATAGGTCTTTAGAATCTTTAAGTGAGGAAATTTTGGACTCATACATTTCGGGAACAGTCACTAAAATCTTATCAACCACTCTTACATTTGAAAATGTTTCACCAAGCAATCTAATTTGATTGACAATAGCTATAAGCTTACAGACATACTATTTGATGGTCTCACCTTTCTTCATCTTTTGCATCTCAAATTCCCTTTTGAGATTCAGAACTTGCATCAATTTTGTTTGAATGTTTCCCTCGAACTCTTCCTTTAGCATCTCCCACACCTCCTTAGGTGATTCACAAGTCATTATACTTGTGAAGATTCCGTCTGACACGGCCGAATGAATACAAGAGAGGGCTTTTGGCTTCTTTGCTTTTTCTTCGTCGTGCTTCTTGATTTGGTTTAGGGTTGGATTTTGTGGAAGAGGGGTCGACTCATAGTCACTCTCAACAACCTCCCATAAACTCAAAGCTTTCAAATGAGATTTCATCCTGATAGCCAAGATTGAAAAATGTCTCCATTGAGGATGGGGTATGGAAGCGAAAAATTATTGGATGCCATTAAAAAAATAAAGGTTGACTACTCTATATATTTTTTTAAAATCCTCACAAACCCAAGAAAACTGGAGCTCTGATACCATGTTGGAAAAAAGAGGAGAAAACAAGAATATAAGTTTTATTAAAGAAAATGTTTCATTTACTCATGTCATCCTAACAGAGAGAATGACCAAATATATAGGCCTTACACCAACTTAAACTCCTAGAAATCAACAACAAACAATTCAAAGAACACATGACAATTGACTAAGTAAACAACTAAACCACTACTAACATACTATCTTGAAAAATAGGAAACAACCTGATAACTAATTTTGAATCAGTTATTCAACATTCCCCCTTGATTCAAAATTTCTTGTCATTCCTCTTGAATCTTCATAGAGTACTTCTCTCCATAATCTTGTAAAATATTTCTCTTCACTTTGTGATGCACTTCTCATCTCTATCTTGTTGATGCACATAATCACCAACATTCTCTTAAAGGAGCACCTCTCTCCACAAATATTGATAGAGCACTTGTCTCAATCTCTCCATGGTGCACATCTCACCATGATTCCTATAATAAAATTTCTTCTTCAACTTCTTGTGCCATGTTTGCTTGTTCTTCACTATTATATCGGTAATATTTTTGGATATGATCAAATCTCTTGCATTTGTGACATTGAGGTTTTCCTTTATGCCAACAATCATTCTCCTCATGGTCAAGTTTCTTACAATGGTTGTATTGGACGCCTTTGCCTTTCCCTTTTGAAGATGAAGTCTTGGCTATTAAGGCTTCTTCAAAATTTTCACCATTTTCTTCCTCCCTCAATTATCTCCTTTGGCCTACGACACTGAGGGCATTGACTAAATCCACTAGAGTTATTTTGGATAGGTCTTTAGAATCTTCAAGTGAGAAAATTTTGGACTCATACCTTTCGGGAACAGTCACTAAAATCTTATCAACCACTCTTTCATTTGAAAATATTTCACTAAGCAATCTAATTTGATTGACAATAGCTATAAGCTTACCGACATACTCTTTGATGGTCTCACCTTTCTTCATCTTTTGTATCTCTAATTCCCTTTTGAGATTCAGAACTTGCATCAATTTTGTTTGAACGTTGCCCTCGAACTCTTCCT